ATATACACCTGTCGTTATAATAGGATATCTCAAAACTACTATAATTTATCTGGCTTTTTAAGTAAAATATATAAATAAATTAAAACAATTCCTTTACACGTTCAAGCAGTATTATAAAGTTCTCACACGAAGAAAATGCAGTGGAAATCTGCACCGAAATCAAATAGTTTTAATTAGTTTGTGTTTCTAAATCCAATTTATTGGAAGCTATAGAAGCCTTTTATTGAAGTTTTACATTTCTGAAACTGGGAGATCAGAGCTCAGATGTGCATCACGTGACACAGACAAATAATGATTGAATTTTTTTTTTAGATATTTCTTTTTGTATTTAATATATTATCAGTTGTGGCTTTACCACCTGGAAACTACGCGTCTCCTGGAATATGGTATCCATCTAAACTTTGAGAGTTATAACTTCCATTTCTTTTGCGGTGGTACTGACAATTATTTCGCATTCATCATTAGGGTTCGTTTCTATTTCAAAAATGATTCTGCATATTCTTTTTGTGTCGGTGCAGTGAAAATAATTCTATTTAATGCATTTCAAGCTGTCTCAAGTAACTGAAAATAGATAATAAAAATCTTATAGACTTTTTGTGACATCTCTTTCATGATTATACTCTTCAGTTGCAAAATTGTTATTAGTTTTATACTTTTTAATGCTAATTTTTCAAGCGTCAGAGTTTATTATAGGGCCTTTCGTTTTTCCATTTTTTTCAAATAGCAACGTCATACAATTACAGCTATACAAAAAAAAAATTTGAAAAACGGATGGCCTTAGTTGCAACTTATAGCTAGGCCTACGCACAGTCGTGATTAAAACATTTGAGAACTGGGTAGGGGAACATAGATATAAATAGATAGCTCTTGTCCTTTTACTATAAAGAGAGTAGTGTATTCGTAGTTATAAATAACACCAGATTGGCCAGTCACTACTCGTTATCATTGAGGTGCATGTGCGCATGCGGCCGCCATTGTTTTATGTTAAATTTCGAACTGGTAGACAATGTAAAATGGCTGAGGGTGGCAGTCGTACGTCCAAGTCACGACTCGAAAGTGCTAATGGAATACAGTTCTATGCCATTAACCGTTACACATACGGTAACCAAGAGTCGAAGGCGGAGGGTGTAAGTAAAACATTTTTTTCTATAATATTGTTACGTCTCCGTTTGTTAATTAACTTTCCGTAAATTCGTTCCGACGAAACTTTAGCGACACAAGTCCT